GATTCTTTGAAATTACTCTTGTTTCCTTTAAGTCTACTAGTTCATACAAAATTAATATGCTATTGTGTGACCAAATATTATTAGTTAGGTGAAAAATTAAACTATCTGGGATTCAATCAAAATAGAGAATGTTACCCTCTACATCTGAATGATCAGATTTTCCTTTTTATTCTTCATCCCAGGAAACTTGTTTGAAACATCCATTACGTTTAGTACCTTATACTTAAACGGCCACTTCAGTTAGAGCATGCACCTACCAATTGGCTGTGGTGGTAGTAACTACAGACCGCCCGGCCTCTTGTCAAAAATACTGAATCCGTCAGCCATAACAAGAAAAATAAACCCAAATTTTACATACTGCTTCATTGCTTGGAAATTACTTAAACAGAGACATGTATGTTGTGGGTAACATTTTTCAGGGCTGTACCAACATATTTAGTTTTATTCATAAAATATGAATAAAACTAACTGGAAGAAAAAGAAAAGAAATCAACAGGGAAACCTCATCCCACATTTATTAGGGTAAAGGAAGTATGAACCTAAATTATTGTCTTTTAACTATTTAGTGAGAAGCTCTGTTTTCCGAAATCTAATTTATGTTCTCAGTAGACTAGTTGATTTGTGTGCTGTTTAAAAAAATGATATCCTTTTTGGACCTTTTAATAATTCTAAGGTAAATAGGTCTTTTACAAGTGGGTCATTATTACTTTATCCTTACCTCTGATTTAGGAAACTTGAAGATGAAAATAGCTTCTCCCAAAGATTTGCCTTTGGTTTGATTTAAATTTTCAGATATATTACACTTGTGTTTAGTCTCTCCTATAAGTCTAAGCCTGTTTCCTTTGACCATCCACAAAATCTCTATGTAATGTGTCTCTATCCCAACATGTTGTATATTAGAGTGCAACCCTTTCCAAAGAGAAGAAAAGGTCATCGGAAATTATATTTCTCTTTGACTTTTCCAATCAAGTGGGTTGTTTTATTGCCTATAGAGTTTAGATGTATATCCAACTATGGACATAATTAAATAAAATGAACAAAATCATACAGTGTTCTGGATATTTTACAAAAACCATTTTGCCATGAATTTATAAAGAAATAAAATGCATTTTGAGCAATTTCTTAAAGTATATACCTCAACTACCATTTTTCCTATGAAGCTTGTTAATGAAAATCATGAAATGAGGCAAAATCTAGGCTTATTCCTGGCAAAACTAAACAATATGAACTATTTTATACCCAGTATTAGAAGGGGTTTGAGAATTATCTGTTAAAAAAACATTGGCACTGAACTCTATTTAGATGTGCTTAATTTGGTTGAAAAAAATATATATATATAGATATATATATATAGATATATACAGAGAGATATATAGATATAGATACAGTAATACCTTGGTTTACGAGCATAATTCGTTCTGGAAACAAACTACTTGTATTGCAAGACATCACTCATTTATCAAGTTAAAATGTATTAGAAATGTTTGCTTGTCTTGCGGAACACTCACAAACCACGTTACTCACAATCCAAGGTTTTACTGTGTGTATGTGTGCATGTGTGTGTGTGTGTGTGTGTGTGTGTGTGTGTGTGTGTGTATATATATAATTTTATTATGAGAACAGTCATTAGTTTTTATTTTAGTAGAAGATCAAAGAATTTGGAGGAAAAACTCAACATACATTGAGTTAAAGTAAGCACTATCTGATTTCCCATTCATTAACCCAACAAAGAATAAAGTCTATCCTTTAATTTTAAAATCATGTCTTTCAGCTAAAAAAAAAAAGTGCTCTCTGAACTAGATAGAAGGCATCTGACATTCATGGGTTATGGGCTTGTATGACCCCATTCAGTGGCTACCTTTGTTAAAAATCATCGTGCCTTTTTAAACCTATCTCTGCTGACTACTGTGTTTTCTCTTTGGTGTTGTTAGATGACCTTTTTGTTATACGAGTATATTTCATGTTTTTGTTTTAGCTGAGTCTCATTGAGAATCTTCAAAAGATATTGTTGACTTAAATCAGCCATATCAGTCATATTAATGTTGTGTGAATGCGAGTTGTAGGTGTAAGGTAAAATTGTACTTGTGTGTTTGTGTGTGTGTGTGCATATATATATATATATATGTATGTGTTTTTATGTACTCTTTTTCAAAGTCATTCAGAAGGAACATATGAAGCCTTCAGTTTTCTTCACCTTTCTTATTTACACTTATCCCTCTACTTCCATTACTAATAATAAGTATGATTATTTTGTGGCATGAGACAATTTTTAAGCAAATAATGAGTTGACTGTGTGAATGTTCAAATCGGTAACAGCCGTTAAAGAAGTAAAATTATAATTTAATTATGTGATGTTTCCTTTGGAAAGTACAAAGGGACGCTTAGTCACATATAGCATATTCTCAGGGCACAAATATTTGCTTTCTTCTTTTTAATGGTGCCCAAAAAAGCTATCATTAATTAAGAACAAACTTTCCTTCATTACTTCATTGCACAGATATTTCATAGGAGATCTAAAGATAGGTATTGTGCAAGCACTGAAAATACAATAAACACTGCACAATACCTGACCTCATGAAACTTCATAGTTTACAGGGAAAATATTTATTGAATATGCACTTATTAGACCAATGCTTGTTTCTAAAGGGCACCAGGAAAGCATATATTCTGGTGTCCTAACCTAACGTGGGGACAGCAAGGAAATAATGCTCCCATGTTTGGCTAAGGCAAGATGAGAATGGGATGGAAGTGGGGAATGGTACTTCAAATAAAGGGAGCTACAACTATAGAAGTCAAGAGGTTAAAAAAGCTAGCTTTAGAAGAATTGAAAGAAGAGAAGAGCACAGAAGGCACTGTCAGCTATGAGATGGGGCAGGGAAATAGGAAGGTTCCAGATCCTGGAAGTCCTCCTAAACTTCATTTGGAGTTGGAGATTTTATCCTGAAGTCAATGGAAAGGGTTATCATAGACTAGTGGCATGATTAGATATTGGCTGACATGTGGAGCATGGGTGGGATTTATTGCTGAGAGGATACAGACAGGTCTGTTTTCAATCATATAAAGTAGTAACTGAGCAAGAGGTGATTGGCATTCCAGATTCGGGTGGTGTCTGAGGGAATGATGGCTCGTTCCTGATGATGGGAACACTCTAGCATGAAAACCAGTATGAGGAGCCACCTGATTATAAAGCCATCAAGCGAGTGATAACGGTGTGAGTATTAACTGACACAAAAAAAGTCCAGACAGCAAAGAACATGTGTGTTTTCAAAAATATTTCACGTTTGCTTACCAAGTTATGCACATCCACATGGTAATTACACCAATCACATACAAGCCCAAAACACATATTCATCAATAATCACATTGCCCTAAGACAACCAATAAATATATGTGTATGCAAGCACATGAAAAAGACACAAATTCTGCACACTTGAAAAATGATGTTAGGCTTGGAATTTAAGTTGTTTGTACCCTTGTACCCTTGTTTGTTTTTTTTAAATTATAAATAAAACAAAAAATATATTCCCATAGGATAAAATATTATTTTATAATGTTTTAATGATTGCATAATACAGGAAATACATATAAATGTTTTATTAAACTTTATATTTGGTTCTACTTTGATAACTACATATTAAATTAAATACTAATGTATGAAATATTTTCAGTCATATATACATTCAAAGGATGGCTTCATCAGGTCTAAATAATAGTTCTTTTCTATTTCTCTAATAGTATATGACCAATATCATGGTGGGTTTATTGTGATAAGTATACTATATAATAAATCTAGTGTAAATCATTCTAAATATGAGAAAAATTTGTATCATCTTCTCTAGCAAGACGCTCCAGTCTTTTCTTGTGGGCATTACTAGCATTCGGTGTTTCTTCCACCTCTGAGTCCTCATCTGAGCTGTTGCCAAAATGTCTTCGCTCAACATTCCATGTTTTAATTTTCATGGAATAGAAAATGTCTTGCAATATACATGATTAAGCACTGAGATGACAGCCTATATTCTTTCTAAGTGCTTTATAGATCAAGAAAAATACTTATCTATTTGCAAGCATTATTCAAGGTCAATTTAAACTGTGTTTCCGTCAGAAAATTTTTTGTTCAGAGAAGCAAGGCTCGCATGTAATTCAAATCTATGAGTAGAGACCACTCTGTGTGGCTTGCGTTTTTTTTTCCTTAAGCTGTCATGCCTTCTTTAGAATAGCTTAATATAAAAGCAGATATTTGAGTATAGAAAAACATACATAGAATTTATTTTTTTCCAAATTGTTATACGCTTCAATGTGTTAAGCTTTAAATGAAACTGAAGGACACTCAATGTCACTTTTGTCAAAGCCTTTTCCTATAATAGCGTATTTGGATGATGCAAGATGTATTCTCTTGTGATGTCCAAGTGATTGATAAACCAATTTGTATGGAATATACAAGAACTATTCAGGCTCTGTGGTTTCCTTAAATGAGATGAATACAAATTTCTATTTTCTGAATAGGACATAAAGTATGCTAGGCCTATTTTAGATGCTTCAGTGTGCCAAAGATGGTCTTAAGTTTGGTGTTCATAAATTGCTAATCTGGAACAAGAGGTTGAATGTATTTTGAAAACTTAAACCTGTTTCGCCTGAACATGTTTAACTAGTTAATAAGAAACATCAAAAAGACAAAACCCTGAGATCAACGGTCATTTTTTTGTAAAGCTATTATATGCTGTTTAAATTGGTTGTTCGGGTCTGTCTATAACATAAGTTTAATAACCTAGCTCAAATGCAGATTTCTAATTTTCAATTAACGTAGGAATAATTTTGTTTGCTAAAATAAAATAAATGAATGAATGACAAGTCTGAAACATGAAATGTTCTAGGTAGAACTTTTTAAAATTCCAAATTTCAAAAAATCATGTGGCAACTGTATAGCTCAAGCTTTAAGTATTAACTTTTAACCTTTGACCTTACAGATTTTAACCATTGAAATGTCTCTTTAAACTTTAAAGGAAACAATGATAACGAGCGCCTGGCGATTGCTAGACAGCGAATTCCATATCGACTTGGTCGAGTAGTTGATGAATGGCTACTCGACAAAGGTAAAAAACATTGATTAAAACTTCAAATAAAAAAATAATTTGAACATAACCAAGTAGTACTTCATTGTAACACTAATAAACATAAAAAATAAATTTTCCGTAAAACTAAATTAAAAACAAATTTAAAACAGTAAAATGTAGATAGTAATATTTGCATACCTTGTATAATAATTTCTATACATTTTTAGACGTACCAGCTGTTTAATAATCTTACCCTGTTAACTTAAGGTTAAAGGGACTGTTAAATATAATCCACTAACTCAATCTATGAAGGTACTCACAGCAAGCATTAACCCAAAATGATAAATCATTCATAGATTATATTACATGTTCCAGCCTCTAAATTATTAACTAAAATATATGTAGTTCTGCTATCTTTATTATGGTCCTGAAAAAACAAAACAAAACAAACAAACTCTTGGTTTAAACTCTAGGCATCTTAAATAGTGGGCAACATGGATTGCCAGTCAAAATGAAGTCCCTTTAACGTTTGCAACCTTCTAAGAGCATTTGGGAACAAGCCCTAATTAAAACTGAACTTAAAGTTGTGTGCATGCTTTTTTAAGAAAAGAGAGCAATCTGCTAAAACTGGATACTCAATTTGATGATATTGGTACTGTTGCTGAGGATTGCTGTTTGATGGAAATGTGCCATAATTTCTCCATCGGTTTGTGTATCATTCCTGAAGCCGCTTTTTACATCTGAAGCTATTTTTTTCATTCTGTTTTGTTTTAATAGACTTGCTGAAAGACAATCAGAAAAATAGTTTGTGAATTTTATTTATTTATTTATTTATTTATTTATTTATTTTTGTCTCTGACATGCTCAGTGTAAACCATGCATTTCTTTTCAGTGTGATTGCCGGAAAAATACAATAATTCAAATAATAATGGACCATTGCCTTCAAAAACATAAGTGTTTCTAAAGAATAGCATGTAGATACCTGTGGCCATTAAGTGGATTATGAAATTTTTACCATAAATTTAAAATTAGAACTCAGCTGCTAGAGATTACTTTCTGCCAGTGGTAATTTTAGAATGACAAATACTTGAAATGGTAGATATATCACATTTTTAATTCAACAATTTAGACTTAAGAGACCAACAGTATAAGATCTTGAGGTAAAAGGGAAAGGGATCCACTAAAAATTGATTTACCATACATATATTTGATTGGTCTTTTAGCAAAAACACTACATTTACAATCAATCGAGAATTTACAAGTATTTGCCAATGATTATGCATTTCATGGACACCTCATTTATCAGCAATGAATTATGAGTCAAATGCCTCTCTTATAGTTTATTGCTCTCATTATCCACCCCATGAAAGATCTGTTTTATCATCCTTTTAGAATGTAGAGTTCACAATCAACATTTTTGCATGTATGTAATATTATTTTTACAGGGCGTCAGCTCACAATCTTCAATAGCCAAGCAACCATAATAATTGGCGGGAAAGAGCAGGGCCAGCCCTTCCAGGGCCAGCTCTCTGGGCTTTACTACAATGGCTTGAAAGTTCTGAATATGGCAGCCGAAAATGATGCCAACATCGCCATAGTGGGAAATGTGAGACTGGTTGGTGAAGTGCCTTCCTCTATGACAACTGAGTCGACAGCCACTGCCATGCAGTCAGAGATGTCCACGTCAATTATGGAGACCACAACGACCCTGGCAACTAGCACAGCCAGAAGAGGAAAGCCCCCTACGAAAGAACCCATTAGCCAGGTGAGTGTGTGGATTTCATTCCTTCCTTTTGCACCTGTGATTATGAAAGAGGGCTTTACTCCATAGCTGTCTTTTCTAAAATGGGATTGTTTCTGAACTCACGTATTTACGGCTTCCTTTGACTCTCGCTTGGTGTAATGCACTCAGTTTAACTATGATATGTGTATATGCTGTTGATTTGAGATTTGTGGGCTTTTATAAACTGCTTTGTGTTGGTTGGTTTGCTGCTTTCTGATGGTCTTAATTGAATAATCTTGGTCTAACCCAAGCTAAGGGGAGTGTCTACAAATTACATAGGGTTTTCACTGTTAAAGTTAAGTGAACAAGTAAATTAATGACGTATTTGAAAGGCTCTGTTTGTTCAAGCTCGGCACTTCATCAAAATAAAATAAAAACAGATCTGAAAATCTTAAAAGATAAATTGCCTGCACAGCTTCTATTGTACTTTGAAGTCTTAAAGTTTTGAATTGGTAAGCATGTGGCTCTCAGGGTGAATGATAGGTTTACTCTTTTACAATCTGTAAGAAAAACATACTGTTTTTCTGAGAACAAAGACTCAAAATATGGTACTTAAGAACTGTCTTGGGCTAACATATTTTTTATGATACATGGGTAACTGCTGTGACCTAGAATTCACTTCGTTGAGCTTAGTTGTTCAATGTTATGTCTACAATTTTTGAAAAGTAGAATTTTAAATGTTGAATTGGTACAACTTGGAAGTATATTAATTAAATCAATATATTTTTATTGGTTGCCTAATATGTATCAGGCATTGGTTCAGGTATTGGAGAATTAAAAAAAAATCAACCACCCACCTCATAGAGCTTACATTTTATGAAAAGCTACCAGAACACTGTTGAAATGCTATTAAATGCTATTAGATTCCTATTGGCATTTATAGTCTTTGTACATATTCTGTTGTGAATTCTTTCAGAATTGTTATGTTCACCTTGGTTCAAAATTGAGTGTTTCCTTTTGTGTTATTCTTTTTTCTGGAATTTTTAAATTTATCTATCTTGACATTCAATATTATTTTAAATTAATTTCAGATGTGTAGCATAGTGGTTATACATTTATATAATTTAAGAAGTGATCCCCCTGGCTGATCTAGTACTCACCTGGCACTATATATAGTTATTACCATATTATTGATTATATTCCCTATACTTTACATCCCACGACTATTTTGTAACTACCAATTTGTACTTCTTAATCCCTTCACCTTTTTCGCCTTCCCCCAACCCCCCTCCCATCTATCACCTCGATAAATTTAGTACCCGTCTGACACCATACATCATTATTGCAATATTATTGACTATATTCCATATGCTACATAGGGTATCTACATCCCCATGACTACCATGTAACAACAAATTTTTACTTCTTATTTGTGTGTGTGTGTGTTTATTGTGAAATAAACATTTTTTAATTAGTTTCAGCTGTACAATACAGTGCAATAGTTATACTTTTTACCTCTCAAAGTGACAACCCCCTTAATAATGATTATCTTCAGTGGGTGCCGTATAAAGCTTTCCCAAATACATTATTGTTATTTTTCCAGAAACCCACGTTCTAATGAAGCAAGACTAACAAGAATTATTTTTTTAATTGCTTTTATTTCAAATGTTTGAACCAGACCAAGTGTCAGATTTAGAGAGTAAAAGGAGGTTGATTTTGTTATATCTTCACCCTATCCTAATTAACGTAAGTTTACCAGAAAGACAAGAAAAGACATTCTGATTTTTACTTTGAATAGGAAGACGTGGGAGGAACAGAATAGAGAAACAGAAAATGTCCTAGGTGAAGAGAAATGATCAAACAGTTGTAAATTCACAAGTGTAGTATTGGATATAGGCACCTATATGTGGCATTTTCCTCTCTCTCTCTCTCTCTCTCTCTCTCTCTCTCTCTCTCTCTCTCTATATATATATATATATATATATATATATATATAAAATGTTATACATGTTATATATAATGTTAGGGGTAAAAGTCATGGCATTGGTAATTAAAAAAAACATGCTAACAAAGAACTGGGTGGAGCATTTATGGTAACATGTTGATATTAATCAACTATTAAATCAAATAAGTGGGTACATGGGTATATATTACGCTATTCTTTTGTCTGAAAGTGTTCATAATAAGATAGATAGATAGATAGATAGATAGATAGATAGATAGATAGATACAAGTAGATCAATTTGACAGAAAGACAGATAGAGGCCCAGCCAGCTAATCCTGGAATTCTCTCATTTCTCAATGTTTCTACTAAAGTGGGCAATTTTACGTANCCTGTCTCTGTCTCTGTCTCTCATTTGCATTTGGCCACAATGTAAAATGGACAGTCTTACCAGATGTTTGATTGATCACGCTACATGTTGCATACACTGTTTTCACACTGACGGTAGATACGTTAGCAATAACAAACAAAAACCCCTGCCCTTATGGAATATACATTTTAGTATGAATGTGTGCTTAGAGTGTAATCATTTTGTACATTTTCTCTATCTTGTTAGGGCTTATAAGATTGTTGATAATAACACTTAGCCTCTTAGATACAGACTTTTGACTTTAGGCAGATTAATGCATACTCAACAGCTCCATTTGATATTCTTTCCTGATACTTTATTGATGATTAGTTATTATGATGGTTGTTTATGTTTATTTAACAATAATCAAGTTAAAGTGAATTGGATACAGGAAAAATGAAACACAAAGGAATTGATAGACCATTTCTTTTATATAAAATAATTCATGAGAAAACATTCTATGATATTCAGAGTTGAAAATGTTCCCATGAATAAAACCTGAAAGAACCAAATATTTTTCTTGTATCCTTGTTTCATCATTAATGAAATTACAGTTGCCAAAGTTCCTAGGTAAACCAGACATATCCCAAAATAAGGAGAAAGAAAAATGACCGGCTTTGTTTTTATGTGTTTTATCAATTAGTAACTGCTGTATATTAAGGCATTATGTTTTTTTAAGAAAACATGCAAAATAGCTATTTCATTTTCAAGTTAAGTACCTACAAATGAAGAAATAAAAGCTTATGCATTGTATAATATTAATTAATGTAAAACAGTTAACTGCCCATTAATTGCCAATGAAAAGGCTCTTTTATTATAAGCTATCACATGTTTAAAGACAGCAGTGGTTTATAGAAGTAAATGATCTAATCAATTAGTAATGACTCGGTTCGTTTGAGGGGGTATTGACTTGAATAAATGATTACTAGGTTCATTAAAAAATAGACATTAAATTTTTAGATTTTTAACAGACCAAATACAGTAATTGCATAATTTGGATTAATATGTTACAAACATTCAATTATGGCAACAGGGTCTTAAAGTTGGACTAAGAGCTTTTAAAATTCTCTTTTATAATGATATGCATATGATTAAAGGTAATGTGTGTATATAGAAAGGCTGATCTAGTAGGGAAGAAAGGAAGTTTTTAAATTTTTTTTTATTTTTGAGTATCAGAATAATTTGTTCACATTTTCTTGACCTCACAATTGATTTTTAAATTGCCCTTCAACTACAAAGATATAACTGATACATGTAGAATTTAAAGTGTGTGTTCGTTAAAATTATCAAAGTCTTGGAAGTTCAAATACGAGATTGATTTGTAATGCTAATTCTAGGACTGTAATCTTTGACTCATTTTTGTAGGTCGGATGAAGCATCTTCCTTTAAACTCTGTCTGTAGTGGCCATAGCTGCCTGCTTTTAGCAACCGCCTTACTAAATTGTGTGCTAGGAAGGGTCATTTTATTTTTCAAAAAGTATACTGGACTGTTTTCTCAATCAAAGTATATTTTCCTCAGTGATAACAATGAGCCACTTTAGCTGCAATGGCGATGTACCTTGGGGTGATTGCATGTTTTAGAACTCTGGAAACAGATTTTTGGTCAAGCAGGATTAAATTGGATTCATTTCAAATAGATGAGATGAGGTTTGTTCAGCCATCCTGCAGGGCAAGTAGTAGGGGAGAAATGTATTTTCAGTTTTCACAGAATCACAGAATATAAAAGAGTATTCATCAAAATGTCATCCCATATACACTTGTTTACATTGCTACTTAAAAGTAAACATGCTTTAAAAGGAAAAAAGTTTTTCTTCTCTGAATGCTGATCAATTTTCAGACTGATGTTTACTTTTGACAGGCATGATTTATATCAGGAACTAATGGGTACCTTTACCAAACCTTGTGATTAAATGGCTTTTTTTAAAATGTAATATAACAAGATTAATAATACCTTTTATATGGATTACATAAAGTTCATGAAATTTGTTTTATTTAAACTATTTAATATCTAAATGTTTCCATAAGAACCACTCATCTCAAAAAAGCGAAACTTTGTAACAAGCTAATAATTGATAGTATAATGTTCTTAAGGATGCTGAGAACTTCTTGGGGTTGGGGAAGGCATGTCATGCAAGATTTTGACTGCTCAATGTTCCCTTGTCTTATGGATGTGTGTGTAACTTTATGTAAATAAGTAAAAGTAAGCCAACGTACAAAGGGCAACATTCACTCCCTTTGGTTGCCAGTCTATAAAGAAAGGAAAGTGGAGGAACTGTGCTGTTTCTTTTGAGATAAAAATTGTGATATTTCTTCTGATCTATTCTTTGTATCACATTTTGTGATCTTTCGGTTCTTTCCTTCAAGAATATTTCACATGCTACATACATACTCTAGAGAATATGGATCCATAGCAGTGCCTTTTACTTCGAGATGGTGCAGTATAATGGAAAGAGTACATTGAATCAGGAGACTTAGTTTCCACTGTCACACAATCACTACCTTGTTGTGTAACTTGGAGGATGGTTTACCTCACTGTACTTTGAAAGCCTGCTACCTCTCTAAAGTAAGTGGGTTGAACTAGGAATCTCTTGAATTGTACTGAGCTCTAAAGTTTCGCTGACTCGAGTAACGATGCTCTTAATTACTAGGTCTTCTGATGATTATTTAACAAAGCATAGATTCCATCCTTGG